CGGCGAGCCTGACCACCCGATCCTGTTAGTCGCCTCTTACGACAAGCATAGTCGCCTTTTACGGCAAGCATAGGTTGCGGAAGACCTATTCTACCCCGGATCTTCACGGGTCTCTTTACAAAGGAACAGGTGACCTGGACGTATATGGCGTCAAACGTCCTGTACAGAGTAACAACCCTAGGTGTGCCGTGACCCTGTGATCAAGGGTTCGAATTCTAGACTCGCTCTGATTATAATCCTTGGTTTGTCAGCACCATACCCGTGTTCGTGGGTTTCATGTTCAAGGACAGTATGAATCCCAACAACCAAATACCTGTGGCGCGAGTCGACTAATAGTGAGTGATTGAGTAAGATGAGCTAGTTTCGCCTCTTTTACAATATTCCAGCAATATCACGGCGGGGGACACCGGAGAGGGGCTTGACACAGTGTACTCATGTTGGGAATCGAACCGCGCGACGAGCGAATGCTTCAACCACAAGACTGCCCACAGCACCAGTCAACTAATATCAGCATCGCGTGACTTGTGACATTGGGGCAATGTTCACCGTACCCTATCATTGCAACTAGATCTTTACTCCTACCATCAGTGGGGCGGTCGGGTAGCCTAGTGGTTAAAGCGTTCGCTCGTCACGCCGAAGACCCGGGTTCGATTCCCGACATGGGTACAATATGTGAAGCCCATTTCTGGTGTCCCCCGCCGTGATATTGCTGTAATATTGCTAAAAGCGGCGTAAAACCATACTCACTCATACACTCCTACCATCAGTGGTTTCTTCATGCCAGGACTCGATCACTTACACGCCCCTGTTATACACCAAACTATTGCTGAATGCGGCGTTAGTCAACAACCACGCACTATAATTCTGAACAGTGGATTTGTTACCCTCTCTACAGTATTTATAAATAAAACCTTTTCCATTTCCGCTTGTGAAACCATAACGGTAATCAATTTAAGACATGCATAATGCTTAACAAAACCATGTAGTAACCCTTTTTTAATGAAGACGGTAGATATATACCCCACATACCAAGCGAAATAGTTTATTCGCAAAGGAACGAAGACATAATCGACAATTATTCAGCTATTTAATCAATTATACGGTCTCCTTTAGAATAAATACGGAATATGTAAATCCATGTTTTATATCACCAACTTTGAGGGATCGAGTCTATCGTACACAGCATTCATCTGGGATCGCCATTGCGTTAAACAGTGTATGTACTGCGTACAACCTTACAGAGGTGTGAAGTAACACAACCCGACATCAGCGGCTGACATTCGACATATGATCCCCTAGGACCTCAGGGTGCGGCCTCGCATTGTGCCAGTGTGTCACCCACGGACCTGCCTGATGCACTTTCTGCATACTTCGTATGACATTAAATGCCATTTATTACACAATTCTATTCAGCATTCAAGAAGAAACACGAGGCTTGGTTATTGGAATGCAAGGGGTGCAAATATGTTTACTAACGTGGTAAATACCTTGTGCTTGGGCGCGTCTGCGGTTAACATACATAACTCACGCGTCTTAACACAGACAATCTGACAGCTACTTTCAATTTAAGTATTAGTAAAGAATGTTTGCTAGAAGTAAAACTGCTGGTACGGATTAGTATTCCAGTGTGCTGCGACTCCCAAGGATAATATGAGTTTAGAAACCTGGATGATATTTCCATATAAGAATGAGTGGTTGCCCGATCGAGCGCTTTTGTCGCATTGTGAGATACTGGCGCAATTTAATGGCGCATGGTACAAAGCACTGGCTCGACAAATAACGCAGATCCTCGGCGTGTCGGATTAACGCTTTCACCACCAGGTGACTACCACTCCTGTATGGAATCCACGGATACATATTGTTACGAGGTGATTTCCAAACGAAACGTAATGGTTGACCCAGAAGTCGGTTCGTACAGAACTAATTTAACTAAATTGTGAAATCAGTAAATGACAAGTAACACAAGATCGATGAACAATTAATGAATTATATTGGAACACAGTTTTAGGCTTACAATCCCAAAAGGCAACACACGTGGTTTCAAAAGTGGCGGCAGCAATATATGTAACATACAGGCCCTATAATATATTCCAGTGCATTTACGAGTGTCCAGAGTTTCCCCATGTGGAATGTCCTGAAGCAGTCATGTCTCTGAATATAGGAATATTTGTTGGAAGCTGGCAGGTATTCGGTGTGTTCAGCTAGTTATCCCATCCGTAGAGTAGATGAGACGCAAGTCAGGTCATAACAGACCTCGAATCGCGCTTATATATGTACATCCAGCCTTTTAGAGTGAGTGAGTGAGTGAGTATGGTTTTACACCGTTTTTAGCAATATTCCAGCAATATCACGGTGGGGGACACCAGCTTCACACATTGTACCAATGTCGGGAATCCAACCCAGGTCTTCGGCGTAACGAGCGAACGGTTTAACCAGTAGGCTACCCGACCGCCCCTCAGCCTTTTAGAAACTGTACCATCCGAAACATCTCGAACGATCAAGTCTGTCATGTTTGGTTACTGTTAATACACTCACTCACTGCCGCCGACACCCCTCGACATTTTACCTCAATCAGTTGCTGCTAATGACAAATCATCATCACCATCATCATCATCACCACCACCACCACCACCATCATCATCATCATCATCATCATCGTCGTCGTCGTCGTCGTCGTCGTCGTCGTCGTCGACTGATCACCAGTCTATGTTTCTAAGTTTATTATTATTATGATTGCGGGGATGTGGTCACTTCAAGCCGAATGCCAGGGTTCGTTTCCCGACCTTGGTACAAAGTGTGCCCTTTCTTGGAATGCCCTGACAAGGTTCGGCTTGAATTTTCTCAAAAGCGGTGTGAAACCGTACTTCTGTCACGCACTATTAACAACATGTAATGATAAGCACCATACTCGTCCTCGTGGGGTTCACCAAAGTCATGAACGCCAGAGACCTGCATCACTTCAGGCTTTCCTCCAACACTAAGCTGCCACGCCTTGATTTAACTGGAATACTGTTAAAAGCGGATTTAAATCCAACTCACCCACTCTTCATTTTCCTGAAAAAATCTATGGATTTTCACAAAATCAAGATATAACTTATGGCCGAGTCAATACAATATATTCCCCTTGGGTATCCGGAGTCCAGATAAACAAGGTTCCAGTATACTTGATGTTATGTACAGCGTAGGGACGACACCCTATGCCTCACGACACCCTATACCTCACGACACCCAATACCTGTGACACAGAACTGTTGTATCGTTTAAATGTGTCACGTACATATCACACAGGTACATTTGTCAAACGTCACTTAGATCATGGGAAGCAAACTGTCATAATTGTCAATAGGCCGTAATAATATCGCGACCTCTGGTCAGTCTTGACCCAATGTATTCAAATTACCTTTATCCTGGCTACAAATAAACACTGCGATAGAGGTCAGGGTGCTAAGCATTACTTCCAGCAACTAATTACGTTGTTTCCGGTTGGTTACTGGGTCGATGAGCTTCCGCCACTGGGCTAACAAGGCACGTGTTATATAGTGCAGCTATAAACGTACATCCCATAAACAAGGAAACGCTTTTGTCCAAAAAAGCTGATGTACTTGTAGACAACATCAAGCTACTTACAGATGCATTTTTAAACGTTTTTGTTTATATTTGTGAGATGTGATTTGTGAGAGGTGAGGTGGGTTTACGTCGCGGTCAATATTAGTGCATTTATATAGCAACGTGGATGCATGTGTGTGTGTGACTGCTTGTACTGGTCCGGACTAATGCCGATTTTATAGTGCCAGCTCACTGATATACCATGCCGCAGTTTAACATGATTTCACAACTCAGACACAGCACACTGACTTTATCCCCTTATTGCTGAGCGCCAGGAGGGTAACAGCAAGTACCATCATTTATCGTCTTTTGGTTTGACACGGCCAGGGGATCGAACCCCCGACCCTCCGCTCTCCGGTTAGAGTGAGTGAGTGAGTGAGTGAGTGAGTGCGGTTTTTACGCCGCTTTTAGCAATATTCCAGCAATATCACGGCGGGGGACACCAGAAATGGGCTTAACACATTGTAACCATGTTGGGAATCTAACCCGTGTCTTTGGCGTGACGAGCGAACGCTTTAACCACAAGGCTACCCGACCGCCCCTGGTAGACGCTAAATCCACTAAATCAGGAAGGCGTTTTTTTTGTGATAGAAAAACAGATCGAATTGTGATAGTGTTCACTGCAATAATATACTTAATAACACTGATGATTTACGGGTTAGGTGATCGTTTAATATATATTATACGTCATGTGCGTATTACTAATCAAAAATGATAATATTTGTTTGTTGTTTAACGCCGCACTCAGCAATATTCCAGATATATGACGGTGGTCTGTAGATAATCGAGTCTGGACCAGACTGTCCAGTGATTGACATCATGAGAATCGATCCACATGACTGGGATACGATGACATGCACCATGTCATGGCGTAAACATAAGGCATGGCTGGCCACCCGATCCCGTTAGTCGCCTCTTATGACAAGCATAGTCACCCCCCTTTTTATTTCTAAAAAAATCTTTATTTCTGTATAAATTACCACCGAAGACAATAAATAGATCTTAATTGTGCACCCCCCCTTTTAAAAAAAAGCTGTATCCGCCCATGTAAACTGTTCCCTTAATAATTTCCCGCAGTATATATCAAATACAGCCTAAGCAAGTCTATGATAGTTAGCAAGTCGAGATTAATGCAGTTTCCGAAAATGAAGAGCGTCCCTGGGTTCCGTCTTATAGTACATTTTATACAGATAATGTAACAACTGTTTAGTCTGTAAAATATTTTTTATTTCAGGGACTATTCCGACTTTCTTATATGTGTTTATAAATCGATATATATTTTCAGAAATGTGATATGCCATCAAACAATTGCTTCCCATTATGTATTTACCGGGACATACTTGTTCACGCGAGTGAAACTAACTATTTTCTTCATGAAAGTCGGATAAACTCACCTGGTCAGCTGCTGTGTCCACTCGGGTGGCAGGGGAACCCACACTTCCTTATGTTTACACTCCCCGACAGCTATTACCCCCGACTACCAAGTAGACTGTATGAGGACAGTCACGGGTGTTTGTGTTACATAAGAGACGGCCTTGCGACTTATTATAGATCTTACCTGACCTGAGTTATTTTAAAACCAACTTCATTGAATAAGAAATCAGCAAACCCGTGACTCGTGACAGTGGCAAACGCTGATTGCTCGTGACGTGTATGACAATATTAAGAAGTGTCTAGTGTGTCAATCCCCTTGTGAGTCATCTCGTTGTGGCAAGTGCCTCTACAACAACCACAAGCAGGGTGTCGTTAGAGTACCACGCGTTTTGCTGTATTTAAAAAAAAACACACCATACATTGAAATTTGCCTGTTTACCTATGGCGGCGTCTTGCTACCATGAGAAGCCCCGTTACATCGGATGACAGGTAACCTCACTTGAGTAAGTGTTTTCAGTATATACAGTATACAAACGTGAGCACGCTATGTAAATCCAAAATAAAATTGGAATTGATAATTATAACTTATAAATGAATTAGAATTCGACAACCATAGTTCAGCCGTGACACACACACACACACACACACACACACACACACACACACACACACACACACACACACACACACACACACACACACACAGAGACAGACAGAGACACACAGAGAGAGACACACATACACACACACACAGACACACACACACAGAGACAGACAGAGACACAGAGAGAGAGACACACATACATACACACACAGAGAGACACACACACATACACACACACAGACACACATACATACAGACACACACACACAGACACACACACACACACAGACAGAGACAGAGACACAGAGAGAGAGACACACATACACACACAGACACACACACACACAGAGACACACATACACACACACACACACACACACACACACACACACACACACACACACACACACACACACACACACACACACACATACACACACACACGTTGACAGTTTGCAGTCAGTGATCATGAAAACTGGTACCCATACCAGGAAGAGTGTGTTTGTTGCTCAATGCGCCTCTCAGCTCGGAGTCTAATAAATCGAGTGTGGGCCAGACAATCCAGGGATTGATATTATGAGCAACGATCCATGTCGTCGGGGTAAATTACAGCTTTCAACCAAGTCACCCTGCCTGAACACCCGATCCGTGAACTCGCTTCTTACAACCAGAGCCCCACTCCACAAAGTGATCTTAGCGCTAAGATGATCGTAACTCCCTTACTTTAACATAGGCATAAGCAGGCCGTAGCGCTAAGATCGCTTTGTGGAACAGGGCCCTACATAGCTTCCTTGGGGCCAGCCATCCTCACGGGTGGTGTAGCACGAACGAGGTGTTGACAAGTCCTGCATTTTACACTATGAATGAACAAATCTTGGTATATCATCGATCGGACGAGGTGTTGACAAGCTCTGCATTTTACACTATGGATGAACAAATCTTAGTATATCATCGATCGGACGAGGTGTTGACAAGTCCTGCATTTTACACTATGAATGAACAAATCTTAGTATATCATCGATCGGACGATGTGTTGACAAGTTCTGCATTTTACACTATGGATGAACAAATCTTAGTATATCATCGATCGGACGAGGTGTTGACAAGTTCTGCATTTTACACTATGGATGAACAAATCTTAGTATTCATCGATCGGACGAGGTGTTGACAAGTTCTGCATTTTACACTATGGATGAACAAATCTTAGTATATCATAGATCGGACGATGTGTTGACAAGTTCTGCATTTTACACTATGGATGAACAAATCTTAGTATATCATAGATCGGACGAGGTGTTGACAAGTTCTGCATTTTACACTATGGATGAACAAATCTTAGTATATCATCGATCGGACGAGGTGTTGACAAGTCCTGCATTTTACACTATGGATGAACAAATCTTAGTATATCATAGATCGGACGATGTGTTGACAAGTCCTGCAGTTTACACTATGGATGAACAAATCTTAGTATTCATCGATCGGACGAGGTGTTGACAAGTCCTGCAGTTTACACTATTGACAGACAAAGCCGAGAAGAACATTTACCGTAATTTATCTTTTATTCAAAATGGAGCGGGCCATCGCCCTATATACAACAATCTTAAGCCCGTTACACTATAAGGTTATACGGCTTTGTCAAGTTCAGATTGCCCCAGCAAGTACAGTTTACACTAACATCAGAAGTAAATAGAGGCTAAAATATGACTATCATGAACAAGCAAGTACATGTAAAGATTTCGGTAAAGTTAATTTGGTGTTAATGAAATCATAGACTGTATAAACCCGCCAACCCCGTTTGAAACTATGGCATTATTAACGTCGACCTTTGCTTTGAAATTGAACCTGGACATCAAATATACCCATAGAAGGTCCTCTGTATATTATGTTTCAGAATATACAGAGAAGTGGCGGCCTTGATTCGTTAATTATGGATATTCTCTTGGATGTCAACATGACCCACGAAAGCGAAACATATTAATAGTGAAAGGTCGCCAGTTTAATTGAATCATTGAATAGAATAGTTTCTTAGTTGTATTTAGATGACGAATATACAATCTTTCAGGGTATAAATATATAAATAGAGCTCCACTTTAGCAATTACTTGAATTAAGAATTAAGCACTACCAAAGACCATTTTCCGAATTCTATATATATTATGCAAGAAAGAGTTGGGGATATTTTGTTTCGAGTCGAAACTACAGGAAAATACACCAATATCTGGCATTGAAAGATAGTGATTTACGCGGAAGAAATCAAGTTCCCAAACACAACAATGTGACAGCCATGAAGCACGTGACCTAGGACAGCATGTGCAAGATATGGTATGCCAGATGTACCACTGTCATTCAGACTCAGTTGTGAGCAAACGCTTATTGTTTTCTTGAAACCAAACGCTAAAAACACTCTATTAATCACATTTAATCAGTAAGAAAGCAGCAGCATTGACCGTGTGACGTTTGCAATGTGCTGAAAGTGCTACATAGGCATGTTGCAGTGGGCACAGGTCAGAATAGTGTTGCCCAAAATTGAGTGAGTTCAGTTTAACGCTGCTTTCAACATTATTCCAGTTATATCACGGCGTGTCAGATTAATGTGGGAGGAAAGCCCGAAGTGATGCAGGTCTCAGACGTTTACCACTTCGGTGAAACCCACTAGCACGGGTATGGTGCTGACAAACCTAGAAACATAATCTGTGCGAACCGGGAATCGAAACCACAATCATAGGTTTCTGGCATGCCCAAGGGACGCAACTCTGCTCAGCGAATCGCGGCGCCTTAGACGACTGGGCCACCCGTGCCCCCGTGCCCCCGTGCCCCAGTGCCAAAAGCTGCATGATGATCGACGCCGCTCTGAACTCCAACCCAAGACAAACTAGTCATAACGATGGCATTAAGACATCAGTTGCAAACTGCCACTCAGATAAGGGACCGGTTGCAACAGGCGACTGGTGTGAGTGTACATTCCCAGACGGTGCGAAATCGTCTGCAAAGAAGGCATTTATATGCACGACGTCCACAAGTCATATCACAACTTACTGTACATCAGTTGAATCAGAGGTGGCAGTGGTGTAGGGAACGGCATCACACAGATAATCGACGTAGGGCCAATGTCACGTTTTCTTACGAGGCGAGGTTGACTATCGACTTCCATGACCGAAGTAATCAAGTTTGGAGACGTGCTTATGAGCTTTTAATGGACGCTTAAGTTGTGCAGCATGATCGTTTTGGGGGTGGGTCCATAATAGTGTGGAGTGGTATCACAAGTACTGTACGGCCGAACTACGCCCCATGGCAGGGTCACAGGTCAATACTATCGGACAACATCATTGCACCACTCGTGGTGCTATTTGCACAACGTTTCATATTTCAAGATGATAATGCACGTGCTCATCGTGCCAGGATTGTGCCCCAATTCCTCCAACAGCAAAACGTCCATGTCATGCCATGGTCAGCACCTTTCCGTCACTAAACACGTCTGGGACGTCATCGGCAGACGTGTACGTCAACGTCCCTCTACTCTCAAAGAACTCAAGTTGAGTGAAACAACATGAATCAAGCTGACATTGGTCGACTCATCAGAAATATGCCTGGAAGAAATCGTTCATGTCTGGCCAACAGAGATGGTTAAACCGATAATAGTGACGATTCCCTTTGCAAATTTTAAATTTCACCCCCGACCTCTTTCACAACCTCGTCCGCCACCATCTCCTCACACAAACCATTAGAACCCCTCAGCTCTGATCACCTACTCCCCGGCAGATATGATCACATCATTTCGATTTGCCAAAACCACATAGATCAGATTATTCTCACTATCCCCTTTTTCCCCCGCACCATATATTAAGGATGTGTAGATCTCCAAAAATCCTGGCGAGCGTCGTGAGATGACATGGAGGGTGAATTGATTTTGCGTAGGTTCTCTACTTGTGTGGTATTTACCAAACCAGGGTTAATAATCAATCATCTCTATAATGCAAAACTCTTGTAAATTATTACAATAATAGTCAATAGAGAGAGGCTGCCTGTTGTTTCACTGTAGATATTGACGTTATGTCTTTATGTCAATAATACTGGTTGCAGTGAGAAGGAAATTTCTATTGAATGGTACTGCTCTGTCTTCAGCAAGAAAGGTGATTTTCAAGGTTAAGATAAGGAAGAGAATTATGGATGTCAACATCGAAGTATAAACTTACTCCTTCATCCGGTATTCCTCATAATAAAGAAGTTGACATCCACATATTCTCTTCCTTGTGTGTATCGCTTCTAAACGCCTTTCAAAGACAAGGTTTAGATACATTTCTATGAACAAGATTATGACTTACTTGGTTGGTCGAACGCTTGTATGATGACGATAAGGTAAGTTTGATTCAAGCTGTTAGAACACCACATCGATTTCTGGAATTTAATAATTCATAATGATATTTATGATTACATAAAGATACAGTCTCGGTATCATACGACGGTTTAATTACAAGTTTTGAAAGATTCCAGCTGGGCTCACTTGCACAAG